TTGGGTTAGATTTTATAAGACCGTTTGGCCAGGATCACAACCTCAACTCCAGTAAATTGAATGTGCACAGCTGCAGTGTATCACCAGTCTTTACTGTCTATTACAGTCTGCTTCTTCCTCCAGAGAAACTAAGCAAGCTGGTCAAAGGCTGTTAAGTACACCTGTCTCAGCCTAAAGAGCCTCAGTTAGCCTTGAGTGTAAATTACACTTCCTGCCTGTTCTTTATTTTTAGCTGGGCAGTATCTCCTTGGTTCCTCCTGGGAAGTCTGCATTAGATTTCAGTCAAGGAAGCTGGAAAACACTGGCATTTCTAAGCCAAATGGGATGACTTTTATTAACCCCACGAATCTTGGTTTCTTGGGAAGCTCCTCAGGCTTGTGACTCAGGCTTTCCATGGAAAGATGGCAGTCTGGGCTTTCCAGTGCCCGCACGTGCATTTGTGGAGAAATCTGCTATTTGGATCTGACTCATTTAGACATATACAAACTGTAGATTTCTTGAGTTCATTCCCTTTGGATTAAACTCAATTGTCCTTATCTTGAAAGCCTAGTTTTGTTACTTTTTTCCATCCCCCCTCCTCCCGCCCCATGTTCCTTCTCAGTTACGCAGTATCACGACCCAAATCTTTAGCACTTGAGCTGTATAGCCAAGAGCCTTGAAACTAATAGGGCCTGGGCAGTGGAGATGATCAGGCCAGCCACTGGGCATCACATCACAGAGAATTCTTAATCACTTGAGGCTGCTTCATTGGGAGTAGTGAGTTACTTAGAGTCAACCTTTTTGTTTTAAGTCAGTAATTTTTAACCTAATTTTATGACAGAATCCCTTGTAGTGCCTGACTCTGAGTCCAGCCAGATAAGCTCCATCAGTGTTGGTAGAACTGAGTGTCAGTTGATGTTGTATTCATTTTAACACCCCACTGGACCTCAGCTCCTTTTTGGTGCCACAGCCCATGAAGGGCAGCCTTCTCAGTGCTAGGCCAGAGGTGGCATTTTTAAAATATGATTTATTGTTTTTATTTTGCCTAGATACATGATATCTGGTTTTTAAATTATATTAAAAATATTGAAAATTAAAAAGGATAAAATTAAAAACACTCAGTATCTCATTACCCAAAGATAACCACCACTGATATTTTCCTATTTTCTCAATGTTAAAATTTGTGTAGGGGTGCCCTGTACTCTTCTTGATTTCTCTGAGGCTTGGGGGAAATGGGGAGAGGGTAGTTTATAGTTCTTCTAATCTTTTAGCTTCAGGTATTATTAGGATATATGCACACACACATACACATATATTTGCGTGCATGTGTGCATGCTATGTCACTTCAGTTGTGTCTGACTTTCTGTGACGCTATGGACTGTAGCCCACCAGGCTCCTCTGTCAATGGGATTCTTCAGGCAAAAATACTGGAGTGGGTTTGCCATGCCCTTCTCCAGGGGATCTACCCCATCCAGGGATTGAACCCTTATCTCTTACATCTACCTGCATTGGCAAGCAGGTTCTTTACCACTAGTGCCACCTGGGAAGCCCACACATATTTATATGTGGATGGAATACATACTCTTGGAATATATATCATTAGGAGGTATAATAATATTTATAATATGTATATATAAAACATACATATTTGAGCCGTGTCAGTTGGCTATTGGCCAAAATAGTGCTCTGTGACAAACTACTCTCAAACTCAGTGCTTCAAAACAAAAATCATGTGCTCTTGCTCACTCTTCTGTGAGGAGGAGACTGGGTGTTTGCTGATCTGGGCTGGGCTTAGCTGAGTGGCTCTAATGGAAGGTGCAGGTATGACTGGCCATGGCTTCTGACTCTGGGTTGAGCTCCTGTCTACTCCCCACGTGTTCCTTCCGGGGCTCAGGCTGAAGGAACAGCAGCTGCCCAGAGAAACTGTTCTTTTGGTGCCAGAAGAGACTCAAGAGGACGAGCCCAGTTGGGTGGATATGTTCCAAGCCTCTGCTTGTATCATGTCTGCTAACATCCCATTGGCTGATGCAGGTCACATGGCTGCACCCAAAGTCAAGAGCAGGGAAGCATATCCCACCTCCCGTGAGGGCAAAGCAAATCATGTGGCCAAGACCAATATCAGTGGTTGAGGACATATATGTTTTTCCCATGAAGGTGCAGGGGGAAGGGAGGGAATTTGAGAATAATGGAGTCAACCCACATTCTAGAAATCTGCTGAGGTATTCAGTTTTTTTGAGATTCAAATGAAATCTGCTAAAAACTCACCTGGCCAATCTCTAGGAAACCTCTAGCCTGGAGCCCCCCTACCCATTGAATTGGTTCCATTTTAGGTCACTTGAGTTGTCCCTATTCCATGCTCCTTTTCCTTTTCTTGATTCCTCCCAAAGTAATTGACACAGATGTATGTATCAATAAAAGATGTAATAAACATTTGGAACAGCAAAGCTTTCTATCTCTGTTTATCTAGCGATGCTGCTTGGCCCTCTCCTCTAGGTTGTTTGCCTCTCAGCCCACACACAGCCTCTCAAGTCAAAGCTTGCTGAAGAATTCACCCTGTTCTCAGAAATCTTAAGATCTCCTCTTGGCTGAGCTATATGACTTTTTGCAACTTGATTCATCTTTTATCATTCATTCAACATACTTGTATTGACTCTTTGTGCCTTTCCCATGGTGAATTTATACTCTATTAATGGAAATTAATAATTTATGTATACTCTGATGCAGGGTTTAGAGTTACTAAACCTTGGCCCTGTTGGTTTTAGGGGGGCAACTCATTCTTTATTGTGGGGGGTGTTCTGTACTTGGTAGTGTGTTTATAAACTGCTACCCCTTAAATGCCAGTAGGACTGACTCCTCTCTGCTTGAGTAATGGACAACCATATCTCCAGACATCTCCAACTATGCCCTAAGGGACAGAAGCACCTTGGTTGAAAACCAATGCTCTAACATATAGTGGACTTGATAAGACCACTGATATTGTTATGTCCTGATGGTGAATGTATGAAAACCTCATGAGGTGGGTGGTATCTGAGCTAAGATTTCAATAGTGGCTAGGGTTTGGAGATGGATTTTCTGGAGAAGGGCAAATCAGTGGTCACAGATGGGCACATAAGGAGTAGCTCTGTTTAACCAAAGCGTAAAGTGAAATGAGCACGTTGTTAAGAGCGGAGGCTCTTATAGGCACTAGGAGGCTAGATACTGTAGGGCTGTCTTAGTCATGAAAAGAACTGCCACTTGTACTGTGAGGGAAGCGGTCAATATATCTGAAGCTCTGTTCATCTGGAGGAAGTACAGTTATAGCATTTGTCTTCATGTTCAGTCACTCAGTCGTGTCTGACTCTTTGCCACCCTGTGGACTTTAGCCCACCAGGCTCCTCCGTCCATGGGATTTCCCAGCAAGAATACTGGAATGGGTTGCCATTTCCTTCTCCAGGGGATCTTCCCAACCCAGGGATCGAACCATGTCTCCTGCATTGCAGGCAGATTCTTTACCTTACTCTTCAGAAGATCTCACTCTGAATGTTTTAGGTTAGGTCTCAGTTTAACAGACCTGGTTAGCTGGTTCCCAGCAGCAGATTAGAAGATAGAAGAGGAAAGGGGGAGGAAAAGGACAAACATAGGCAGGCACGTTCTGCAGCAAAGTTTCCAACATGACAGAGGAGGAAGAGAGCAAAAGCAGAGTTGAGTGAATGAATGAATAAATTCAGACTAAATGATTTGGAAGCATCATAGTATGGAGTCCTGTAGGTAGGGGAACGCCCATCCCTTCATAACCCCAAAACACTGGTACATTACAGTACCGCCCTATTTAATCAACATACGCAGTGTGTTTAAAGGCAGGGCATATGTGAAGTACTGTAGTGACGTACCGTGTGACCAGAGTTTGGCACAACGGTGAGGAGCAGGGTCTAGAGTTATACTTCCTGGCTTAAACCCTAGCTTCAACACTCTGTACCGGTAAACTAGTTCCTTAGCCCTCCCTTGCCTTAATGAGTTCGTCTGTAAAATGGGAATTCCCTGCTCATAGGGTCATAAGGAAGGTTAACCACAACAATCCGCGTGAATTCTTAGCTTAGCTCTTGGCACAGATTGTGCTCAAGAAAAGTTAAATGGTTATTATAATCATTTCATTGAAAGCATAGAGCTGACAAGGCCTCCCTCACAACTTCAGTGTAGCTGCCCTTCTGGAATATTCCCAGAGTCTCCAGGCTGTGCTGAAGTCTCCTTTTCAGAAAATATAGAGGTTTTGTAAAAACTGAGGAAATTTCCAGAAGAGCAGGGGTAGTTGTATCAGTCCCTTCCATCTCCTCTCTCCTTGGCAGGAGAAGTCAGGCCACTGAGGAAGGTGACAGCAGGTTCACTAGCCACCAGCCATGTCGTGGCAACGTATTTCCTTTGAGCGAGACCAGCTCTTCACCCTTTGGCCTGCCTGACAGAACAGTTAGTACGAGATGGCAGAACATGAAGTTATTTTCCTTCAGATAGTATGTCTTAACCTATGAAAAATGGTGGCTGTTGTTTAGTCGCTGAGTCATGTCCAACTCTTTTGCAACCCCATGGACTGTAGCCCACCAGGCTCCTCTGTCCATGTGATTTTCCAGTCAAGCATACTGGAGTGGGTTGCGGTTTCCTTCTCCAGGGAATCTTCCCCAACCAGGGAATGGATCCAAGTCTCCTGCATTGGCAGGCAGATGCTTTACCACTGAGCTACCTGGGAAGCCATGCTATGAAAAATATCTACCTCCAAATTAAGAATGCAGAGAAGAGAGTTGAAAGGAAGGCACCAAAGTGTACTGGAAAGTGGTGGCAGTGACTGGGTGGCCCCAACTCTGCGTGGTTTCCCTTTGACCAGTGTCTGCTCAGTGGCAAAGGCGGCAACATGGGCTGCTCTGTAAGGCAAAGCCTGGCTGGGTACCACGCCATCATGTCAAACGGAGACCACCAGGGAGGCACCCGACAGGAAGAAGCTGCTCTCTGGCCAGAAGATAAAGTAACCTGTCTTCCGTTTGTGTGTTTTCCAGGCTGGAGCAGGAAATACAAGCCCTGGAAAGTGAAGAGTCCCAAATATCTGCCAAAGAGCAAATCATCCTAGAGAAGCTAAAGGAGACAGAAAAATCCTTCAAGGACTTTCAGAAGGTGAAGGAAACTAATGTCATTTCTCTCAGTTATACCCCTGGGGAAGCGGGCACACCATGACAGTGCCAATTGGAGAAAAGGCCAGTTGGTGTGGATGAGAAGCCCGGACCACACACCCTGCAGTGAGGGCTAGATGCGTGAGGACCAGAGCCGTCTCTGAAGCTGCGAGTGGCGGATTGGTCTAAAAACCAATTCTTACGAAGCAGATTAAACAGACTCCCCGTGGCTTTAAGTCTTTCTTTTATAAAAAGGCCAGGAGCAAAACCGTATCAAATGGGCATGAATCCCAAAAAAGAAAGTGTCAGTGAAACATGAAATTTTACCGCACAGGCATGCCTCAGAGATATGGCGGGTTTGGTTCCAAACCGCTGAGATTAAGTGAATATTGCAATGGAGTGAGTCACATGAATTTTTTGGTTTCCCACTGCATATAAAAGTTATGTTTACACTATATTGTTAGTCCATTTAGTATGCAATAGCCTTATGTCTAAAAAACAATGTACATATCTTAATTAAAAATAATACTGTTGGAACAATGGTGCTGACAGATTGGCCTAACTGGGGGTTGTCAGACACCTTCCATTTGTTTAAAAAAAAAAAAAAAGCAATATTGAGGCACAATGAAATGAGGTATGCCTGTCTATGAAAACACATGGTTCTGTGTAGCAAAGAGAGAATCCATAATGCCAGCAGGTTCTGAATAACTCAGGACCACCCTCCCCTCTATTTTACAACTCCTGTTTCCTCAGGTACCCAGCAATGATAGGAAAGCAATCTAAACACATTCATTACAGGAAGGGATTTTCTGTTATCGCTTCTCCAGCACAACCAAGAGTATTTGCTGGATAACTGAAATAAATGTCTACTGGGAGAAATTTGGGGTAAATAAAGTGCAAAGGGTAAACCTTTCCCTTAAATTTCGGGATCCCAAACAAATTTCCCAGAAGGAAAGAGAGCATGGGGTTTGCCCACCACGGTCAAGTTCTGCGGGAGAAAGACGGGCTGAATGAGCGAAGGGTCATCTCCCCACGTGTATAGTGACTCCCTGCCCTGCTTTTGTCTCCACAGAGCTTCTCCAGCGCGGATGGAGGTAAGTGTGAGCGCTGTCTCCCTATCTGTACCTGAATGTTCTCATCTGTCAGCTTAGTGGGTCTCATTAACACAGGCCCCCTGGGAGATATGCTGCTTTGGTCTGGAGGGGCATCAGAAAGAAGGGGAGCACTGTTTGCGAATGCTCAGGAGGGCCGTGCCCCCATCTCCCCATGCTCCCCTCTTCAAGGGCTACTTCTTGATCAACTCTTCCTAGTTTTAGACTGCTGGCCCAGCTCCTCTTCTTCCCGTTTGGTCTCCAAGGTTCACTGCTTGGATCTCTCTTGAAATACACTCAGCCCAGAGCACCAGCCTCAGGACCAGTTCCCTGGCAGGGTTGAGCCCACTGGAACTGGTGGTTAGGTCTCCAGGTAACAGTACACATCAGGAGCCCGTCATCTGATGTTTAAGAAACCTTCCTAAGGCCTCTGGTTTTACTTTGAATCAGAAAACCGCAGTTTCTCCAGCCTCCCTGGGAACCAGGGCTTCACAGAACTTCTCTCCCTGTGGGGCATGGTTGACTGGGGGCACATGAAGGTTAGGAGCAGGTTCCTGGCTTCCTGACCCCATCCTGGCAAGATGGGCCTTCCATTGCTCTCTCTCCCCTTCTTTGCCCCCTGCTTCCCTGCTGTCCTTCACTGGGGCCTTGGGATGAATTTGAGGTTGTGTGCCTCTCAGCTTTCACCTTGCTCCTCTAACTTTAGTTGCAAACTCATGAAAACCACTTGATTTCCACTTTTCACTCTGACCCTTAGCTCAACCTGTCCTAAAATGCCAGATCTTGTCAGAAGGAACAGATATTTTCTGCTCTCTTACAGCCTCTAAACCAGGAAGATGATGCGGGAGGTAGAATAAGCAATGGCATCAGTATTTTCCCAATGTCTTTTGGAAATGTATGGTTAACAACTTTAAAATGCAGAGATGGATAAGGCATTTTTCTTATAATGTCTAGCAAAGATCCTTGCAGTAAGGATAATTCTAACTTCAGAAAACAAACAAACAAGAAAAACTGGTGGTTTGTTCGGGTTCCCACTACCCAACAAATGAAAGGCAGGGGATCTGAATTTTGGCCCCTTGGGTGATCTTTGGGAAGGTATTAAATTCATGATCCCAGTGCATATGCTCGGAGACAAGTCCAGGTCGAGCCCACAGCAACTCCAGGAAGAGGACCTATGATAGTTCTACAACTTTCTCTAGGGAATAGCCAAGTCAGGACACTTGTTCTCTGTTTTGGGGGTGGAGTATAGACTGAGGAGGTGGCCTTGACTGTTTTTGGGAGTTGGGGGTGGCAGCATGGGAAAGATAGTGGAGTTCCCTCATGCTGGGGCTCCCCTGAGGTCATGCATGTGATTAGCAGTAACACAGTAATCCTCAGACATGGACCCACAGACACCCACATACCGGAGGCATGCTCATCAACCTCTTATTCTTTCACTTCTTTTTTTCTCTTCCCTTCTCAAACCAGGACCTTTCCTAGGCTTCTCTCTCTAATTAGGGAAGGGATGGAACCTGCATACTGTGTCCCAGGGAAGGCTGTGTGGGCCGGGGAGACCCATGTAGTATGTGACTCGTTAACAAGCATCCACAAAGCCATGTCATAAACTCTCAGCACTCTCTCTTTATTGTTTTCACCCTGAACTTCTCTCATTTCCTCCTGCTCCATGTACTTCCCACTGTTTTCATCTCTTCACCTAAGTTGTTCATAGAGGTGGTAAGAAATCCAATCATGACTTAGAAAGGAGCCTGCAGAGAAAAACAGCCCTTGTGATTTTATCCTCCATTGCTTTTTACAGGATGAGTGAAACTCAGGCTTAAGAGGATGCAAAAGTCTCAGGGGTCCCAGGAAATGGCCAGGGAAAAGTTTCCATGATCTTCCTTATTGCCCTGGATGGCGATACTTCCATGTCTGATTATAACTAAGCCTGGGAAGACCTTTCCATTACACCACATCTGTTAGCAAAGAGAGCAGTTTGAAGGGGGGAACACATCCTTCCAAGAATGTGATCAGTGTTTATAGGTCACTCTGTGGGTAAAAACCCATCATGAAGCACATCCAGTTTAGGAACTTTGAGCTGTCTGATTGTTTCCTCTTCCTTTGATTTCAAAGTTACCAAGACCCTCTTAGACTCAACCAATTGCTACTAAGACCTAACGAAAAATGACAGTAGAATAATAATGCCTTAGGACAGATACCCAACTTTTGAAACACGATGATTATAGAATCCAGGTCCAGCTGAAATTAGAAAACTGTACAAGACCCTGCAGAGGTCAGCAAAAGCATCGCCAGAGTGATGAGTTGCCAAGGAGTTGGCTGCTAGTGTGTGCTTGTATGATGACCCCTCTTTAGGTATCCTGTGTATGTCCCCCTGTGCTTTTCAGAGGAAATAAAGATATTAGACTGCTGGATCACCAATGGTTTTTTATTACATGGTGGCCTTGGCAATCAAGAGCAATGTATTTTAATCCTGAGTAGAATTTCTTGGCCGCGTACTTCATGATCCCCCCCACCACTTCCTCCCTACCCCACATACATCCTTGTTATATGGTGGAGTCAAAATTGATTGGGTGGGTTGTTTTTACTGCCCTAAATAGGCACAGTGTTTTTGCGTAAGTATATATTTCACATAGTATATACCTAGAACTACCTCTGTTCTTTACCTGTTGGGGAGCTGGTGTGAAACCCTTGGCCAGAATTGGCAAATGAAAACATCTGTCCTGGGCCTGTCTCGTCCTTGCTGTTTGAGACTTTGTAGATTTCCGCCCCATCCCAGTCTGGGGCAGCCTGGAACCTTTCCGCATCAAAACCCTCATACCAGTTGTTGGGACATAGTGTGTCTTCACTTGCCCAGAAGTCATGATTTTAGGAGAGTTTTCATCAGTTTTGTTTCTTTCTAACTTTGGCTATTTATGTTCTTCATATGGTGATGATTTTAGCAGTGCTGGGTAAGGGGAAGGGCTCACCTTTCTCCTCTGTTCTGTAACTGACTGTTGGAGGAAGAAGCACAATAGACCACCCAGACTTTGTCAGGAAGAGGGCAGTGTACTGACTGAGGCCATGTGAAGGAATTCTCCCCCAGGAAGCTTTGGGCGCCCTGTTTCTTACTCCTTGTGTTGGTCTATCAGACCCCTCGGGGCTGGCAGAGCCTCAGGAATTACTACTTAATGATATATTGAGGAGCTGCCCTGTCCTCTTCCTTGGGCCCCACGCCCTGCCACCTCGTATCAGGCAGAGAAACCGTGGAGCCCCAGCCCCATAAGAGCTGTAGCCCATGCGCCTGTAGCCAGCGACCGCTGGGCAAAGGTACCTCCATCACCTGCTCCCTTCCGTCAGAGAGCTGCCTCTTGGGGGAGGCTGAAATGTAAGCAGTAGGAGTCATGTGCAGAATCCCCTGCCTGCAGGTGGCTTCTACTTCTTGCTGCTAAAACTTTCAGTATGCAGAAATGTCCTAGAAATTCTGTGTAGCACAGAAGGCACCAGACACGTGTGACCAGTCTGCAAAGTCTTACCTCGTCTTAATGGCTTGAGAGATTCAAATGCATCTCATTTGAACGCAGGCAGTCAGACTTACAGAGATTGCCCTTCCACAGATTTCTGGAAATCCTCAGGGAAACTCAGAAGTTGTGCACATCTGCTCTGGTCTTCTCTTATCTCCTAAACGGTGCTGCTCTTCCTTCCCCTGGACCGCTGTCTCCTGCTCAGGCCCTGCTTTACCAACTGTTGCTCTCTTTGGTCCTGCCTTCTGTGGCTTTGGGTCCTGACCCTTCCCACACCTCTCCAGAGTGACAGAGTCTGCAAGCTAACTTAAGGAACACTGGCAGAGCAGTTCAACATGGAGAATAAAGGGCAACTTCAGACATGAGACCATACTCTGAGGCCCTGGCTCCAATTCAGGCCATTTCAGAGGGTCTCTATAGGCTGCTTCCTGGCTATCTTCCAGCCCAGCATCATCTCAAAGGCCCACCTGCCTTCCCTGCAGTGAAGGGCCTTCAGCTATGTCTGCCTGACCCAGTGCCCAACTCCAGCACACATGAGGCCCCAGGGAGAAACAGTAACCTGAGCTTCGCTCCAACCCAGGGCCTGCCTGCCAACTCCTGACTTCCGGTTCTGTCTCCCCAAAGAGTTGATACAGACAAAACCATTCTCTTAGAGAAGCTCCACCCCATCCGTTCCTTTTGCCCTGAGAACACGGTGGTCCAGTGTCACTACATCCTTGGTGGTTCGCCTGCATGTGAGTCCGCAGTGGCCTCGTCGGTACAGAACTCAACTCATCCTAATTTGGTGTCTGTTCACAGCCCTTTCCTACATGAAATTAAAAAAAAAAAAAAAAGAAACCTGCTGGAATTAAGTCAGCATCAGTGGGGATACAGAGGACAGGATGGATGTGGGAAGGCTGGGGATCTGACTGGATACCAGGAGAGGGAGATAGGGGCACCGCCCAGGATCCTGGGTGAATTGTGGTGCCAGTGAGCTGAGATACGCTGTAGGGAGAAGCAGCAGGTAAGTGGAGATGAGAGTTCCCTTTTGGACATGTTGAGCTTGAGATGATTTGTGGGCTGTTGAATGGAATATGCAGTAAGCAGTTAGACGTGATCATTGACCAGTGATCGACATTCCAGGTTTTGGGGTGTGTCCATGGCACATGGAAGGAATCACATCACCTAGAGCCCAGCTTTCTAGAATGTTCCTTCATTTTCCCCCTGCTCTCTGGGGCATTCATAGATTCTTCCCTTGTTTCACCCCAGTGGTTTCCCCCTCTCCTCTAATACTTCAGCACACCTATTGACTTCCATGGCCTCCATCTCCCCAAATGAACTTTCAAGATATTTTCCCAAGCAGAGCCAGTCTCTCTTTTCTGCATGGCCACATTTCTTGCAGCTGAGCTCATGGTGTTTCACTGGTGCTATTATTTGGAATCTCAGGATTTTCTAGCTGAAACACCAGACAGAAGGACTAAAATTATGGGATAAATTCTGAAATTTTTTTTAATGCCTGTTAATCTTTGGAATGAATCAGACACATAAAGTGATATTTCCATATTAAAGAAATACTCCCAAATCCGTTTTCCAATTCTGTTTAAGACATGTCTTCCATGTTTCTAGTTTGAAGTCCCATACTTGGCCCAATCCCATTCTTTGGTGGCTCAGACCAGTGTGAGAGTCCTGGGTTTGATCCCTGGGTCGGGTAGATCCCGTGGGGAGGGAAATGGCAACCCACTCCAGTATTCTTCCCTGGGAGATCCCACGGACCAGAGGAGCCTGGCAGGCTGCAGTCCATGAGATTGCAAAGAGTTGTACACAGCAGAGCGACTGAGAACGCACCCACATCAAGTTGATAATGGCTCTCACTAGTCCATCTCGCTCCCTCTTTTTTTTTGTCCCCTGAACACATTGTGCTCTTAGAATCTAGAGCTTTCTGCTGAATCTTTTCATACATAGAGCTGTTCTGGGGCTTGAGCTCTCTGGCAGGGATCTCTCCTGCCTCAGCTACTCTACTGAACACCAGTCACTGGGCAAATGCTGGGCTTTGTTCACCCTGATCCCCTCTCGCAGTGGCCACCTCTGTGCTCCATTATGTAGGGCAGACAAGCTGCTGTCTCGGCAATGAATCCATTGGGCCTCTCAACACTGTGCCTAATTGTATTCCCTGTTCTCTGCTACCAGATGCAGTAAATCACATTTCCTCCCAGCTCCCCGACCTGCCAATCGTCTGTTCACGAACAGCAGAACCATCACCTGAGCAGGACAGAACCAGCAGAGCAGCTGGTAAGTCCTGGGGAACTGTTTGCTTTTGATGCCAGGACTGACCGTGGGGCTTGCATTCCTCTGAGCTCTATTAACGAGGGGTGTCCAGATATTCTTACATGGAGGGGGGACCCCCTCCTCAGCGCAGCTTCAGATGTAGAATTTACAGTGGCCACGCAGGGCGGGCACTGGTCACTGAGGGGTCTCTGAGGGCCAAGGGGAAGGAGTATTGAGAAAATCATAGAGCGCTTTTCCTCCTGCTTCGGAGGAGTCTGTCTCGTGTTGTGGTCTTTATATCAGTCCTCATTCTACAAGATCAAATGAGCTCTGCCGGGAAGCTGGGGGGAAACTATTTTCAAAGTGTGTGAGAATGTTGCTGTAATGCTTTGGGAACTGAGCTGTTTGTACACTGTGAACATATAGATTCTCAAGTCTCCTCATTTCTGGAGTTATTTCTTACTTACCGTGGCATACTTGGAAAATAAAAGGAGCAATTTAATGAATGTATGCTTCTTGCTAATATTGCTCACACTTGTGGATTGTAGCAAGTAATACATTTGTGAGTGTAAAGCATATGGAGAGCTCTGCTTTGCTCTGTTCAATGTGAATGTGTCCCAGAAATCAGAACTGGACGCCGTGCTTAATAAATCACTATACCAATCCTTTCTGCTCTGTGCACAGTTGCATGAGGGCAGGGGTTGGATGGAAAAATGAGCCGCCAATGCTGTAGAGTTTGTGAAAATGTAGGTGAACTGGAATTTGAGCATCAGATTTACGCTTTATGTAATCCAGGTAAATTTATGTTTAAAAGAAGTCATGGAAGGATACCTTTATAAGACAATCATGAACTGATAAGTCAGAGGAAATTCTTTATACAGTATTTTATGAAGCAAAGAAGCCTTTTAACATTAAAGTAAAATAATTCCTCAAGTGTTGACATAATTGTCATGCCCATTGGCAAAATATAAGTATCTCCTGGGGACTCTATCTTAGTATATTATTTTACAAACAGATTCACAGGGTTCTAGAGTTGGGGGGGCGGGGTACTGTAAATGGTATCTGGTCAAACTCAAGCTAGGCTCCGAGGATAGTTAAAAAACTTGTAGCTATAGTCGTACTACGAAGGGACCATTGGCAGTGACTTAAGCTGCAGATTCTTTTAAATGCTCCAAGATGCACTTCTGAGATCAACTTGGGATAACAACTCTTCACAAAGGCACACACCTCCCTGCTTGTTATTAGAGTGTTGGTAATTCCCAGTAGTGGTGGGTAAACAGCTTTCTAGCTCCTCTCCACATTTCTGTGACTCACAGGACATGTAATATGACCTAACTAATAGATCAGTTCATGAAGGCGGTAGGGCCAGTGGGTGGGGACTGAGAGATATGAAAAGGATTCGAGCAGTATTGGCAGTCAAGCAATGTAAACTTCAAGAATGATATGTTACTGGGATTGCCGTTCTGTGTGCATAGGAATACACATACTATCACAAGCTATCATCCTTCCTCTTGGAAGACACTGTGAAAACATAATGAATCCAATAGCAAATGCCTTTTTGAAAAAGTATTATGTGCTCAGTCTTCTAAAAAATAAGTTTATATGTACTTTTGTCAGTTAAGAACCAATATGCATAAATGTATCTGCTGTGGAAATATACAGATGCAGAGGCTTGAAAGGAATTACATTTGATGTGGTTAACTGCTTTGTCCAGGCTGTTTTTGAAATAGAGCATCCAGATTAATGATCAGTTATGGCTAACAGTGACTACACAGAGCATGGATAGCATACAAATGAATGGCAGTCGCCCCTGGAATTCTTTCTTTTAGATATCATCCATCTTGCTTTAGGAGCGTCCTTTTGAAAATTTGCACAATCTTAGGGCCATTTTAATAAATGTCTCTGGTCGTTACTCAGTATTATGACAAATATTCTGGTTGTCTGGAGTTTGGGAGGTTTGGGGTTCTGTATAAATGGGAATTTATTTAGAACCTTTGCTTTGCAGAATCAGGAGGCTTCTGTTCCAATTCCTTATTCAAACATGGAAGCCTGGGGACAGAGCCCTGCCAATCAGACCACAGGCACACATCATGACCTGGGTCTCCCCAGAGATGGCCATTCTGTCTGTAATTGGCTCTGACAGCTGGGAAAGTTCATCCTCAGATGGAGCTCTCATTAGTCTGCTGCTTTCATCTTTTACCTATTTTTATGTATCCTTATCCTGCTCTCTGGAGCCCTTCAGAACAAACCTAAGTTCTGATTTCCATTTAAATGTTTGAAAACGGCTATCACATCCTCTCTTTCCCAGGCCTTCACTTTCCATCTCCTTAATGCCCACAGCCACAGTTGGTTCATCTGGTCCTGAGATGGTTGGTTTCTTGGACCCCCTTGGCCGTGCCTGTCCCTCCCCTGGGAACACGCCCCGCTTGGTCTCTGAAGAGCAAGACTCAGGGCTGCCCAGCACACTCCGGGCCGCACGGTCCCCCCATAGAGGCCACGGCCATGTGACTGCCTCGGCGGCCCGCACGGCCTTTCAGCTTCAGGCTCAGGTGCAGCCTCCGAAGTGAGCGATGTGCGCCGCTCCCGGGCCTCCTTCCCTCTGTCTGGTGGAGTCACTGCTCCACAGTTATTTCAGCGGCAGTGAGAATAACTCACAGCCCCACAACTGTGCACGTACTGCTTCGCCTTCTCACATGCAGAAGAACCTACAAATTCCTTTCCTTCTAATCTTAGGAGGCAAAAATAAGGATGAGCTATGCACCTCTCGGCCCTTGGTAGATTCCACATGACTGTTAAGTTTCTTCCTGTTAAAGTGTCCCTTAGGAGTGTCGGGGCCCCTGGGGTCACCGAGGAGTCTCCGGAAGGTGAGCAGGGCGTTGAGGTGAGCGGGCTTGGTGTTCTGTCCCGTTTCAAGCACAGCAGCTTCCCCGGCCTTGTGCTTCCATGTCGTATTTCTGCATCAGGTTTCGTTTGAATAAAGGGTTTAACCATTTTGAAAGAAGAAAACTCTCTATGTTGTCAGGTTGTGGCTCTAAACACCCTCACTTTTCCTCTCGGTTTAGTATCGTCACAGATCTGAAAAGAAAACTGGCATGATTTATCATCATTTTACTGATAAAATTGTTGTACAGTTTGATACAAAGTCAGAAGCCTATGGCTCACCGTTAGGGATCCTCTGGCCCTGGGGAATTCTCACCCGGTAACTATGGGGCATGGCCCTTCAACCAGTGGCAAGTTCTGCCTGTTGTCCTAACACTCACGGCATGTGTTTCTGTCTTGTCCACATAAGGACAATAGGGACTTTATGATGACCCAATATGTTTTACCTCTGTCATTTGTCTAATCTGTCTAGAGACCTTGAAGGAAAAAAAATTGAGATTAAGCAGAGCCCAGCTTCTGCTCTTTCAAAATTGACTCTAGAATTTAGCCAGCCATGATGTCCAACTGTTTATATATAGTTTATGGAATTCCTTCCTTCTCAGTTTTGAAAATTAGAACTTGGCGTTTTTGCCTCCAGTGCCTTTCCTGATGTGTAAAATCCTTGGGACAAATTCATTGATGTGGGAATTGGAGTGCAGGGCCCAAAGCACTGTGAGCATTTGTATCCCTGGGAGTTTTATTATCTTCCAATCTTCTCTACTCACCTGGGTTTCAGTTACCTCTTAGCAGTCCTGGGTTTCAGTTATCTCTTAGCAGTATTCTTTCCGACACTTCTCAAGCTGTAAAATGCCCTTCTTGACCAAAAAGACTGAAGCAAAGTCAATATGAGAAATCGGCTTCGGCTTTTGCTAGATGGCATCACCAACTCGATGGACATGAGTTTGAGTAAGCTCTGGAAGTTGGTGGTGGACAGGGAAGCCTGGCGTGCTGCAATCCATGTGGTCACAAAGAGTTGGACACGACTGAGCAACTGAACTTTGCTGTCCTTCAACATTATACCCTTGCTTACTTATTTTTGTTAAAACCGCAGTGTCTTGGGAAAACCTTTGATTTGAAGAAATGTTTGATTACTGGGTTTTGAAGTTAGAGATTGCTCTCTGGGACGAGAGGAAGGATTCACTCCAAATGAACATCCTCATTTTCATCATTTTTGACATCACAATGCTAATTTTAAATTTTCTACCTCAAGAGGAGTAAACATAAATGCATATATATAGTTTTATGTTCAAAGAGATACATGTATGTATATTCATTCAATAAGCCTAGCGTATGTATCATTTTTCTTCCACATGGTACATTGCTAGCCACTTGATGTGCATTACACAGCAAAGATCTCACTGCTGGGTGATGGTCCTGGTCTGATTGTCCGTTGCCCTCCCTCCTTTTGGGTTTGATACATCACTGACTCACAAGCCACATGGGCTGTTCATGGCACCTTAGAATATCAAAGCTGGATACCATATATACACACATATATATGTATATATGTGCATTAATATTTGTATAACTGAATCACTTCGCTGTTTACCTGAAACTAACACAACATTGTAAATAAGCTATACTTTAATTTAAAAAAAAAAAAGCTACATACCCTTCAAATGTACCTATGTACAAATGGAGAAAATGAGGCCCCAAATTGAGATGTGACCTGGATAGGAATTCAGACTCACTATCTTTCTCCCTTCCCGTGACACCTCCCATATGATGACTGATGACAATGGGACATGTCTTTTTATACTTTACACATGGACCCTCAACTTTATTCTTCCACCCATTGATCACAGTGAGTCAAGGAAAGTGAGCTGGGAGCAGCCTGGGTCAAGGAATTTAACAATGATCAAAAGTTCTGTCTTCATGGAGCACAGTTCTGTCTGGTGTGCTCTTGGCTGGATTCTGAAATGGAATCTCACCAGTTTGTATCACTCTCCGCTTACCTGTGCCAGGCTACTTTTCCCTAGACCCCTTAGAGCCCTTGGAGCTGCTGTGTTTACCAGGCTGAAGGTGACGGAACAAGAGGGTGCAAAGAGCCAGGGCAGCAGGTTTGACCTGGAATCAAGCATTCTGTTCTCTTCACACCCTCTTTC